TTTTGACGATTTTTGAAATTTTGAAAAATTTGGAGTGACCTCTTAAAAATTTTTTTTTGAGCTGTCCTTTGGTGAGGGCTCTTAAAACATCAAAAACAAACATTTTTTCACTCGAGACTCAAAAAAAAAAAAATAGTCCTTAAGGGATCTCAATGAAACTCAACATACTTATTCTATCGACTATTAGGAAGGTCAAGTTCAAATATGAGCTTAATCGGTCAAATAGTTTAGAAATTACAGCATTTAAAAACTTTAAAATCTTGAAAATTTGATACTTTCACTACTTCTCCTTCAAATAACTTTCGAACGCGTCGAGTTATTCGATTTCTGTAAAATGCATCTGAAAGCTGAGAAATTAAGCTTCAATTTATGTGCTCACATTTTTTTCTAAAGCAAAAAAATATCCATCTTAGGATCATTTTTAAGAAATTTTACTCTTGCAGTCGTTTTGTCTATACAGAACTGACTGAAAAGTACTGAAGTACAATAATTTTTTTTTTTTTTTATTGAACGTTATTTATTTTATTTTTTATAATCTTAGTTGTTTTTAATTCTTTTCATCATGAAATCTACTTCCATTTCGGCTGCCGAATGACCTTTTTTTTTTTTGAAAAACATTAAGGGTTAGTTTTTCAATCCAAGATAAAATTTCATCCAGGATTAAATTATTATTGCCAGCATATTTGTATATATGAAATATATAGCTATAAAATAGATATATTTTATCATTGGATAAAATTTTATCCTGGATTGAAAAACTGGCCCTAAGTGAAAAAAAAAAGGAGAAGAGATAATAGTCAAATAATGATGAATGTTGAATTAACAAATTACTTAAAATAAAATGTATAGAAAATAATATATTAATAGCGTAGCCGAGATCATACTTCACATCGTAATTTTTTCTTTATGACTGACATTTATTCGCTTAACACTTTAAACGAGAAATATACATTGATAAGCTCTCGAGAAATAAAATATCCTGTCAAGAAAGATAGGTGTAGTCATTTTTAATGGTTCGTCTATTATAATACAAAAAATTGTATTAATTGTCGTATAATTATAATTATTATGCTAACGCAATAGTATAAAGTGTAGTTGCTAACAAAAAGGTTCCTAGCGAGTTGTGAGTTTTCCTCATGGCAGAAGAACTCAATTAAAAATTACAAGCAATGATAAAGTATAATAATATCTACGACAAATAATTATTGTTTTTTTTTTTTTTATACGTACCTAAAAAATTTTGTGTTGTACGGATCAGGTAGAATATAAACATCAGCTTTGTCATTATAAAATTGGCGAGCGATGCCTTTGAGGCTACCGACAAGTAAATAAGCAATGGAGGGATGATCAGTCGTAAAATGAAGCTCGACTGCATCCGGAGTAGCAATACACACAAATTCAGCTTCTGTATTTGTACCAGATTGATGTTGTACCACATCATTCACGCCGTCGAGTGTCGTTAGAAATGCTTTCAGGTCATTTCCGAGACATCGAAATGCACGTTCGAGTAGACCTACGCAGGCTGTTGAAATTAATTCCTGACCCAAGTGATCCAAAATCACATTCACTTCGATATCTGTCAAAATAATATTTATTTATATTAATCAAATAAATCACTATAATTAGTGGAAAATTTTAAATAATAATAATGATTATTATTACTACAAGTATAACTAGACCACCCGTGTAAATTTATTTTACATAACGATAAAGGGGAAAGGGGGGACCTATATTCAGTGGGTACTACTTTCTGTTTAACCGCTAGAAAAGAGATCTAGTCAAATACTTATAAGAAGAATTACGCCTTCGGGCTTAATCGTTAAAACTCGGGAATAATCGTATAAACTCGGGAATAATCGTATCACGCTATGGCCGTCGCTCATGCGCGCCTTGGTTAGCGGTAGAGAAGCCGGCTCGCGTGGTCTGATGCAACAGTTGTGCTTGGACTTCTGTACTAGTACGACTACTCTGTGCTAATCAATTTGATAATTCTTACTTGCATCTCACATTCATTCAAATATTTAAATCATTCATTAAATATAAATAATTATAGTAGATTCAATTATACTCTAAATTCTCAATTCATTTAAATCAGTTTAATAAATCAGTGAATTAACATAAATAAAATCAAGTAAATTTATTTAGTGACGCAACGCGGCCATTACGCGCCACCGTTGACAAAGGATTGCATCAGCCACGCGGCTTTACTTAATCCATAATTGACGCATGATATTAACCATTAATTACATTGAATTAATGATTAACATTTAATTACGATCTTATTTAATTTAACTTATAAATAATTAAATTCCAACTTCAAACCATTTGACTAATTTCTACACGAAAAACATCAAACTCAATTGACTAACATTCTGTTATCAATCAAATATTATTAGCTCTCACCTAGAGACAATTGAACATTAATAGCTCTCACTCTGAGACAGTTCAAATTAATTAGATATTACCAGCTCCCACCTTGGGACTTATCTAATTCAAATTATCGATAATTTTCTATCTAAGGCGGCTGAGCTCACCCCTATTGCGTTATTGCAACGTAATTTACACACACACACTTACACACATACAACTTACTTGTATAATTTTCAACAAAGAGGTTTTTTCCCAGCCTAGCTGGGTTTTCCTCCTTTAGGGACAAATAAATTCTTCTAAATTGTTCCCCAAAAAACCCAAGTATTATTATTTAATTTCCTAAGCCCAACTTCATCATATTTTTAAAAAACAATTACGGGAATTATCCGCATTGGATAGTTTCCGACAAAACACTAATTTCTACATGAAAAACATCAAACTCAATTGACTAACATTCTGTTATCAATAGAATATTATTAGCTCTCAACTAGAGACAATTGAACATTAATAGCTCTCACTCTGAGACAGTTCAAATTAATTAGATATTACCAGCTCCCACCTTGGGACTTATCTAATTCAAATTATCGATAATTTTCTATCTAAGGCGGCTAAGCTCACCCTTATTGCGTTATTGCAACGTAATTTACACACACA